ACGAAGAACTTTGCAGCCAAACAAACCCCACGGAGGGGCAGAGGCCGCGCTGCCCTCCCAGCCGGTGCCGCCCGGGACCGGGACCAGCGCTGTCCGCTCCGCTCCGCCCGACCCCTCCGCTCCGCTCTTTCTATTTTTTTAAATTTTATTTTATTTTATTTTTCTTCCCCTCCTCCTCCCCCCAAACCGATATTCACAGCAGTTGCCATACCTCACGCGTTGGAAAAAATTAACTGTTTTTCTTTTGTATCTTAATCCAGTGATGAGAGCTCTCCTTTGTTGCCTTTCGAGCTTGCATTTGTTTTATTTATTATAAGGAAATCCAGTTCGGTTCAAATATATAATCCATTTGAGCACTTAAATCCCCAAACAGCTGGCATTATTTTGTTTTATAATCTTTGGCTTTTCTGCACAGAGCATATTTCTAAATTCCTACTTGACATTTATGGGGAAAAAACTTTTTAATGTAAATGGATATTGTGATTTTTTTCTGGGTCTCTCCTCACTTAAATGCATCATCAATTTTCCCGTGTTTCCTTTTGTTTTTATCTTTCTTCCCACCCACCCGTCCCCCCTCCCCCCGTAACTTGTTAATTAATTTTTTTCCCCCTATGAAAACTTTGTTTCTGGAGGTAGAAAAATGTTAATTCGCCCCATTATTTGAATCTCTGACATTTGGAAATGGTTGAGAGACCACAAAAATGCAACCTGTTGTAGAAACCCAGGGCGGTGCGTTGTGTGTATTTTAATCGATAGCAGAGCAGTGATTTAGGAAGAGGAACTCTGAGTGGCATTCTAGAGTAAGCTTTGCAGAGGTGGTGGCTGCATATGCGGCGTGCATGTGCCTGCATTTGTGCTCACCGAGGGGGTTATGCTTGCAAGCAGCTCTCCCTCCTCATTTCCTCACTCGCTGGGGTGATGCCTGCGAATTCCGGCTCTGTGCCTTCTCCTACTTTTATCAGACTTAACTAATTCAGAGCGGTGTTACAATCTCCACGCACAGAGGAACCAAAACCGAGGCGGAGAGAACTGATTACAACTCGTTCCTTGCTGGGAGATTTTATTTTTATGGTTCAGAGCCATTCAATTTGTCTTGGTGGTGGAGTGTTATTAGCAACACACACAATTACACAGGTAATTTGTGTACACCTTAACCAGGGCGGCTTTAAAAACCCATAACTATGCAGATAGGTAACCATTAAAATTTTATATATTTATATATATGTGTGTGTTTTCATAACCTTGGTACTTGGTGGGCAGTTCATGCAGTTCCATAGATTGATCTCCACCCCCCTCCCTCCGCTCCTTGTTTAGTTAATTCAACAAAGACTTTTCGCAATCTGTTTGGAGTTTGTCTGATGCCGTGGAAAAGTAGCTGCTGATTTATTTGGTTGCTTTTCGATTTCTGTCTGCAGCCCGTCTTTTCTCCTCCTTTCAGCGGGGATGTCAGCTGTTATTACTTCCTATTGATCCCTTTGCAAAGTGAGAAGTGAACTAAAATTAATGTCAATTCCACTGCTCGGATCAATAGCCGGAGTTATTTTAATCTGGATTTGCGCGAGGTGCTAAATTAAAAAAAATCAGCATAGAGGCAGAAAAGCAGCAGTCCCTCCCTGTGCCCGCTGCCTGCCCACCACCCCACGCTGCAGTCGGCCCATCATCCCGCCATCCAGATTTTCTTAATTAAGGAGGTCGGTTAGTTTTCTTCTTTTGGGTTCTGTATTTAAACCGATGACATTTTGACATCGGGAGTGTATTAACGAGAGATTTTCATAATGACCGCTCCGCCGCGGTCTGATCTGCACACGTTGCTGGGAGGGAGTGGGGGGGCTGGAGAGAGGCACTGGGAAGAGAGAGCGAAAAAGGAAGTGGGGGCTGAAAAAAAAAAAAAAGAAAGAAAGAAAAAGAAATTTGGCTGGTGAGATATGGTAACGTGTTGATTTATTCCTGGCATAATGAAGTTTGCAAACGAATAAGCGGCTGCGGTGATTCACAGTATCCTACAGGAGTGTCAAGTGTTGCAGCCAGATTACTAATTTATGAAATACGTTTAACGTAGCGGGGTGGTGGCACAAGTAAAAATAGAAAAGGAGGCAGAGGTGGCTGCTTTGCTTTGTTGTTGTTTCTCTCTTTCTGACTTTCTTTTTTTTTTTTTCCTGGAAATCCATATTTTCTGTGATCGCTCAGTTTCACTTCCACTGTTTATTTCTGAGGGTGGTGGTTCCTTTGCAAGCGTCCCTTTAGATACAGCTCTGTGCATACACGTGTGCACCTACAGGGCCCTGTGAGCCTCCAGCTATGCCAAATTTCCCAGTGGAGGTGGTTTCCTGGCCACGAGCTTCCAGAAGTGCTGCATGAAGCAGCAGAGCAGAGGGCTCAGCGCTGAGCTGGGTGCACTGGCACCGCTCTCTCCGTGCTCTCGTTGGCAATGCCTGGATGGGAAACTTACTTAAAATCTGGAAGAGAGCAGCTTCCCTTGTGCAAGATCAGTAATCCGGTCCTTCAGCACTGATGTCTGCAATGAAGGAGTGCCAAGGGGAGACGATGCCCACTTGTTTTCGCCATCGCTGGGTGCAGGATGGGGGAGAAGGAGCAGCATTGCCGTGCTGTGCTGAAGGCACGGCTGGCCTCCATGCGCTGTGTTAACCCAGGCTCTCTCATTCACACAGCACAAAAGGCACTCCATTAGGGAGACACTCTTTCAGTAAGTTTTATTTGAGATGTTTGACCCGCTGGATTTAAGAGGCACAATTTGTAACAGCTTTTTATTATTATATGATTTTTCTGGCCCTTTGAGCTCCGGCGGCCGGGATATTGTTTCGGAGTTATGGTCCTTGTGTTTTGAGCCGGGCTGTGGGGCCTGAATGGCAGGCAGCGGAAACTTGAAAGAAAGACACTAGATTGATTGGGGGAGAAAATAACAAAGCAAAAAGCCCGAGTGAACTCGGGGGGACGCGAAGAGGAGCAGCTCTTCCTGGGAGGCTTGACGAGATGCAAGTCAGAAATTTGGTTAACATTTTCCTCTAAATGTTAATGGCACATCCAGGGCAGTTTACAAATCTACTTAAGAGTGAGTGCATTAGGAACTAAAATTACTGATCCATTCTCTCTCGTCCCTGACCCGAAAGGCAGACGTTTGCGGAGATCAGATGGCAGAAGCACCCATTATGATTTTAAATATTGTCAGAGACGCCAGGCATTTTATTGGCCAAGTCTCTTCTTTTGCTAACAGGGAGAGTGCCTGTGCGTGTTTGTGATGATGGATCACACACATGCACCCATACAGTCTCATTCATACACCCCATGGCGTGTAGGATTGCATCGTGTCCTGCGGGTGCAAGTGTGACCTGCAGTGTATGCTGTCAGAGTGGGGGAAAACACACAGCTGCTGGGTATGGCAGTGGGTACAGCACAAACATGGCTTGTGGTGATACGGGTAACAGTGCACAATAGGTACTTCTATGTAGTTACACACACACAAGCAAACAAGGGCTGTGTGTATGTGTGGGCATTCTTGAGTGGATACAATTAGATGTGCATGCCACTTTTCCTGTATCAAATTCCAATTATCATTTGGAGTTACCATCCTAATTTCAGACTGAAGCTTGTTTATTAGCGGGTGATTAAATCTGCGTGCTGCTCTCCCTGCTTTGCCTTTCATCTGCCTGCGCTGGATGGCACCCTTAACCTGGAGGGCCAGAGCTGCTCCCGGCAGCGTGTGAAGTTCTCTATTGATTTCCTTGAACGAGTGGAGTGGTGGGACCCACACCTAACCCATCATCTTCTCTCTTCTGTTTCCTTGCAGCATCCGGAGGGTGATGACGCTCCAGTAGGTTTTCCAGCCCTCGCTTTGCTTTCCCTCCAGGGAAGGTCGTTCCGCACACGATCCCGCTGAGGAAAGACACTCCGATGGACTTACACCGGGCCGCCTTCAAGATGGAGAACTCACCCTACCTCCCCAACCCGCTGGCCTCCCCGGCGCTGATGGTCCTCGCCTCCACCGCTGAAGCCAGCCGCGACGCCTCCATCCCGTGCCAACAGCCGCGGCCTTTCGGGGTCCCAGTCTCAGCAGACAAGGACGTGCACATCCCCTTTACCAATGGCTCCTACACCTTCGCTTCCATGTACCACCGGCAAGGCGGTGTGCCGGGCGCCTTCGCCAACCGTGACTTTCCTCCCTCTTTGCTTCACCTGCACCCCCAGTTTGCACCCCCCAACCTGGACTGTACCCCGATCAGCATGCTGAATCACAGCGGGGTCGGGGCCTTCCGCCCCTTCGCCTCCAGTGAGGACCGGGAGAGCTACCAGTCGGCCTTCACGCCGGCCAAGCGCCTGAAGAACTGCCACGACACCGACTCGCCCCACCTGCGCTTCTCGGATGCCGACGGGAAGGAGTACGAGTTTGGCACCCAGCTCCCCTCCAGCTCCCCTGGCTCGCTCAAAGTTGACGAGACGGGGAAGAAGATCTTTGCAGTGTCGGGCCTCATTTCGGACCGGGAGACCTCGTCCAGTCCTGAAGACCGAAGTGACAGATGTAAGTACCTCCGTTGGCTTGTTGGCGTTCCTCTCGTTGTGCGCGGTTGAGATACCCAGCAGGTGGCTGTCCTTGTGCTGAAGGAGGGGACGAGCAGCCTTTGCTCCCTGCCGCCTCGCAGCATTGCCACGTTTCTTATAAATGGACAGTGACAGGTTGCAAGGGGAGGTGCTCTGGAAGGAAACCTGCCTTTCAGGCAATGCTGACCTGTTGTTATGTGCAAAAAGGTGTCTGAGCCCCAGAGCAGGGATATGGGTGCTATACATCCGTGTGTGTGAGCAAGGCTTCAGCTGGAAACTTCCCCACAGCTTGTAGGATATGCACCTTGAGCTTTGGGGCTTTTATCCTGATCTTTTCTTTACGCTCACTGTTCTTGTAGCAAATGCATCACCCCCAGGGTTTGTGCCTCAGCTGGGGACGCTGAGCATCTTCCTGGTCACCAAGATCCCTCTTCAAAGCATAAACCCAAGTCTGTTCTTTCAGGTCAAAAAACCGCATCCCAAATAGGTTGTGTGTGTTTCCCACATTGGTGGCTTGGAAGGTGAAGCTCTATGGCTGTAGCTCCACAGTCACTCCTCATCATTCCCTGCTTGCACAGGGACAGTGTTCCAGGGATGGGCTCCAGGGCTTTGAGCACGGCTGGTACCCCAAAAGGAGCACTGAGTTATGGTCAGTTTGCCTCGAAGAAGCAGTGAGTTTGCTGCTACGCTTACGCTCCTTTGTTCTGCTGAATTTTCTTCCTGGAAAACAATTCTTTTTCTGTTGTTGTTGTTATGATTACTATATTTTTTGCGATGAAACTCTACTGCCCTGCTTCCCCCTCTCCCTTTCAGGCGCAATTTTTCCTCTCCCCTTTATGATGCCGAGGAGGTAATAGAGACGTTGTGGCTCTGCCTCCCCTGTCGGCGCTGCTTCCCCAGCCTGTCTCCTTGCATTAGGCACCGCGCTAACTTACCGCCGCTAAAAGGCATCTGCCTAAACCCCGCGTACCTTTTCAATAAAAGTCATCATAAAATCAACCTGCCTTGTAAATCCATCGCTCTTTGCTTTTGAAATATGCCGCCAGTGTGTCTTTTATGTCCGCGTTCGCAGGGTGATTCCTGCTGAAGGCAGAAGCTCTGTGTTCCGTGCATTATTCTGCATGGGGAAGGCAGGCAGGATCTCAACGGGGACGTTTTATGTCTGCTGCACGGCAGAACAGAGCAAAGGCGACATCCCCAATGGTCCACCGACATTAAAATTCTTGCGTAACTACTGGGACAGTTTACACTAAACATGTCTGTTGGCTCTGTATCGTATTTCCATCGTATATAGATGCTGCACCATGGAAACTCAGCTTCATTAGCACTGCGGGTTTATCTGGAGCCCAATATGTGGGATGGGAGTGTTTGCTGTAGTGCCATTTACACATGCATGTGGTTGGCCTTGCTCTCTAAGTGCATACCTGGGGATTGTAGGTTCTGCTTGTTGGACCATGAGGATCTGGGTGTGCCTGTTTGATGCAGCCGTGTGTCAGAGCAGGTAGGCGACTGTAGCTTCTGTGCGAGATGCAATAGGGCTCCTATCAGAGATGGCAACTGTTGAACATTGTCTTCAACCAGCATCACCTTGCCATGTCCAGTGAATTCTGTTCAGGTTTGAAGGCTCAACTTTTCAGTTGTATTTTTCAGATTCCTGAAAGCATTTATGTTATGTCGGAGGTGAGCTACTATAGTTGCACTACGGAGTCTTCTGTAGCACTGCATAGGAACCTTTTTTTGGATAGCTCATTAAAATGCTTACTTCATAACCTAAAGGGTGATTTTTTTTAAAAAAAGGAATTTATTGCACTGTTTTAATATTCCTGAAAAATAACTTCATGCTTGAGATACTTTAAAACACAGCGAGAATCCAAAGCCAGGATTTTCCATCTCAGAAGGATGAGGTGGCTCTCTTTAGTCCCATGCATTGAGGGAGCAGAGCCTCATCCTGTTTTCACCCATATGCTGAATTCAGTGAAATGATTTGAGATTTGTCACAACCACTGGCACCTGACCCTGTGTGATACACTTGTACTGAAGTGAGAACTCTTGCAGCAGCAATGGACCAATGCTTGTGTCCATGGGATGCTCTGAGTGCATCAGGGTGAGGTGGTGTTCCTCATCATTCAGCAAACCAGCCTGAGGTCGGTCTGCTCAGACACAGTGCTCTGAAATGCAGGCACTGAGAACACCCAAATGATGCACAAAAGCAGAGACTTCCCAGGGAGCAGTGGCTGCACCGTGTGCTGGATGGGGCCCTTCTGCTGGGTGCTGCTGAGAAACACGATGCCGTTTGTTGGAGTTTGGGGGCTTCTTGTAAAGCATGTGTTAAAGACACCGGGCGACGTATTTTATAGGTTTCCTTTAATAAACCCACGACAGCCGAGATTCCTAGAAGGAGTGGAAATTAATGGTGTGTTTCTTTCTGCAAAAGAGATCTATAGCCCCATTTTAGAATCAGAAGGAAAAAAAAAAAAAAAAAAAAACCACAATAAAAAGACCCTTGGTTTTACTCTTTGCTCCTAATAAAACCCGTCCCAATGGCCTTCTGCATGAAGCCACCACCACGTCACCTTCCCACAAGGTGATGGGCAGAAGCCCATAGCCTTCCCGTTGCTCTCTCCCAGTTGCTCTTCATCTTGCATTGGCCATGACCTGCTGGTGTGTCAAAGACTTGCAACCTCTTGGCCACAGCTTCCATCCCATCAGAACCTGCTCTTCCAGTCTCAGCTGATGCCGTTGGCTCTCACGCAGCTCCAGGAGGGGAGCTCTGTGATGGCATGCCTTGCTGGGACCTCAAATCCCAACTCCAAATCCTGACCCACTGCAGCACGGGGATGGCATCAGCTGCTCCATAGGTTTTGACAGAAGGCGCTGCGCAAGGGCAAAGTATGAGCATTATTAATACAGTACAGTTAGTAGAATATTATGAACTGTTATAAATCATTACTGCTAAACTACAGTTATTAAAGGAAATGACCAAAGTGCACTTTCTGAGCCAGGATCTCCGACAGTTAAAGCGTTATTTTATTATTTCACTTGCTAACTTGCAAAATTCAGGAGGCAGCGACAGTTTCCTGGTTGGGCTGTGATGGTTGCACGGGGGACTGGGAGATGCTGGAGGAGTGGGCATGCACAGCAGGAAGCAAGCATGGGATTTAGTCATTGCTTTTCTCTTTCTTTAATAGCCTATAGGTTTTGAAGGAAGGAGACATTCCCCTCATGCAGGTGCCTTGGGCCCACCAAGGCCACTGAGGTCTTTCTCGAGTTCCCATAGAAAACTCAAGCGTGAAGGTGCTTTGGAATTGTCAGCAGTTGTTATCTGTGTGGTATCATTTAGACAAGTCCCATTAAATGCTAGCAGCAGTTCCATTCTCTCCTCTTTGTTTGCCTTCCAAGGAGCAGAAAACAGACATAATTATATTTTACGTGAGACTCTAAGATTTCCTCTCATCTCCTCCTCTGCTTAATATCTGCAGCTATAAAATAAATTCCATTTGTGCATACATGGTGTTAGACAGAGGTAAATAACTGTCATTCGAAATCTGCCTAACCTTAATCTGTACTGGGAGCACTATAGAGCACCGTATCCATTTGTATAATATTAGGCTTTATTTTTATTATGGATTTCTAATGCAAATTCATAGCGGGGACACAGTTGTTTTCTGCTAATGCTGCACTCCAAGGAAAGCGGCTGCTACGAGTGAATGGTGACAATCTATCCAACGGTTTGTGGTCCTCAATTATGTCAGTATACCTGGGGGGCATTTTTCATCCTTGCTCTTCAGGATTAAAAAGCAGATTTGAGGACTTTTGAGGACATTTTTTGACTATGCAAAGCAACTGGGACCAACAGTTGGTGGGATTGTTGTGGCATGGGTTGCACACATGAAGCTTCCCTGGAAGCCAGCCTGGAGTCAGAGTGCACTGGTTGAACACTGACGGTGATGTTTAGTGCAATCTGTGGCTGTGATCTTGATTTTTGTCTCTCCTTTGCAAAACATAGATGGTGGCAGTGATAAACAGAGCGTCCTTTGGCCACCAGCATTGCTTTCTCCTTCAGCCCCTTGCTGGCATCTTGAATTGTAGCAGAAGAAAGGAGAAAGCAAAGCTGGTAACTTGGAGCTGAGGTCTACTTTCTCACCACTATTTTAGGGAAGAATGTATTTTGTACTTTTCCTTGTCAGTGCTGGGCTCGTGGTGCACAGCTGTTTGCAGCGGGAAAAGGAAGGCGCTGCGTGCCTCTGCATCCCCGTAAGAGGAAGAGCTGGAATCCGTGTCCTTGTTTCCCGCAGCAGCATGGATTCTGGGTAACTGGCTCCAGGCAGAGTGACACAGCCCAGCTTTTAATTCAGAAAACACAAGAGCTTTGATGCATTTTGCTGGTGCAGTCCTGCACACCCGCTTGTGCCCTGTGCCCTTTTGCAGGGCTGAAAGTGCATCTCAGGTCTGCCACAGTGAGCCCATGTCGCTCTGTTGGGATTTTCAGGAAAAATCACTTTGTTTCTAATTAAGATAGTTTAAATTTTAGAAGTCTCAACCTTTTCATCTGATTTTGGTGTTGTTTCCCTATAGGAAGCAACTTGCAAAGCCATTTAGTATGTGCGACTGTCCGTCCTGTAGCATCCCTCACTATAAGGGAACATAGGATAGCAATCCCTCATCCCAGGCAGCTTGCTCTGACACTAGGAAGGCATACAGAAGGCTCTGCACCAAAACACAGCTCTGCCTTCTCCTCTGGCCTTGCTTCCAGTATGAGAAATGTTATGGGGAGCTTCCCCCTCGGGCTTTAGGGGAGGCTCTGCAAAGTGCTGATGTCCCAGTCCCTGATCTGCACCCAGGGTGGGGGCTCACTGGGCTGAGTGCCATCCTGGTGTCTGGAAGTCTCTCGTGGGCTGGAGGGCATCTTGTCCCATTATCACTGTTGGCAATGTGGATGGCTTGGGACCAGGTGGACAGCAGGTGAGCAGAATGCAACAT